AATCTTTGCTTGAGTCTCCTTCATATCCTCCCAGGAGCCTGCCTGACTTAGGTCTCCAGCTTGTCACAGAGATACTCCCACTCTCTGGATCTTATACACAGCCTTCTGTCCTTTTCCCCATGCTTTCTCCAGGTCTGATCTTAACTCTCTGTTAACCCTTAACCCTTTTAACTCTCTGTTCCCCTTCTCCTACTTTGTTCCCTCTCTTAATCTACTACCTCTGTCTGTTCTATCTTCCCTTCCAAGAGAGATTTATGCATCTTCCCTTAGATCCTCCTGGTCATTGGTTCCTCCTTGTCATGTATCTTCTTTGGTTCTGTGACTCATAGTATGCTTACCCTGGCTTATATGATTAAACTCCACTTATAAGTCAGTACATCTCCTCTGTGTCTTTCTGGGTCTAGGTTACCTCATTCAGGATGATCTTTTCTCGTTCTATCCATTTGCCTGCAAATTTCATGGTTTTTTTTGTTTGTTTTTAATAGCTGAGTATTATTCCATTGTATAAATGTGCCACAGTTTCTTTATCTAGTCTTTCATTGAGGGACATCTAGGTTGTTTCCAGATTCTGGCCATTATGAGTATATCTGTTATGAACATATTTGAACAAGCATCCTTGTTGCAGAGTGGAGCATCTGTTGTGGATATACCCAGGAGTGCTATAGCTTGGTGTTGAGGTAGAGCTATTCTCAATTTTCCAAAAAATCACCAGATTTATTTCCAAAGTGGTTACACAAGTTTTCACTCCCACCAGTAGAGGAAGAGTGTTCCCTTTCTCCACAGTTTCACCAGCATGTACTGTTGCTTGAAATATTGAACTTCACCATCTTGACTGGTGTGAGATGGAATCACAGAGTTATTTTTATTTGGATTTGTCTGATGACTAATGAAGTCGAGAATTTCTTTAAGTGCTCCTTGGCCATTCAAAATTCCTCTGTTGAGAATTCTCTCTGTCCCATTTTTAATTGGGTTATTTCATTTATTGGCATTTGATTTCTTGAATTCAATATATATTTTTGATATTAGCCTTTTGTCAGATATAAGATTGGTGAAGATATTTTCTCAATCTGTAGACTGTCATTTTGTTCTACTGATGATGTTCTTTGCCTTATAGCTTTTAAATTTCAAGAGATCCCATTTATTAATTGTTGATCTTAGAACCTGAGCTGTTATTGGTCTGTTCAGGAAGTTGTTTCCTGTGTCAATGAGTTCAAGGCTCTTCCCCACTTTCTTTTCTAATTGATTCAGTTTGTCTGATGTTATATTGAGGTCTTTGATCCATTTGGATTTGAGTTTTGTTCAGGATGATAGATCTGGATCTACTTGCAGTTTTTTACATGTAGACATCCAGTGAGACCAGTGTCATTTGTTGAAGATGCTGTCTTTTTTTTTTCTTCATTGTATGGTTTTGGCTTCTTTGTCAAAAATTAAGTATCTATAGATATTGTGGGTTTATTTATGGGTCTTTGATTCTATTGATCAGCTAGTCTATTTCTATCCCAGTACCATGCAGTTGTTTTTACTATTGCTTTGTAGTATAGCTTGCAGTCAAGGATGGAAATATCTTCTTTTGTTGTGTAGGAATGGTTTAGCTATTATGGGTTTTTTGTTTTTCAATATGAAGTTGAGAATTGTTCTTTCAAGTTCTATAAAGAACTGTGTTGGCACTTCGATGGTAATTGCATTGAATCTGTAGATTGCTTTTGGTAAAATGACCATTTTTACTCTTAATCCTACTAATCCACAGGCATGGGCCATCTTTCCATTTTCTGATATCTTTCTTCTTCAGTTTTTTTCTTCAGAGACTTGAAGTTCTTGTCATACAAGTTGTTCACTTGCTTGATTAGAGTTACACCTAGATACTTTATATTATTTGTGGCTATTTTGAAGTGTGTTGTTTCCCTAATTTTTTTCTCAATCCATTTGTCATTTGTGTACAGGAGAGCTACTGATTTTCTTTTGAATTAATCTTGTACCCAGCCCAGCCACTTTGCTGAAGCTGTTTATCATCTGTAGGAGTTCTTTGGTGGAATTTTAGTGGTTGTTCACGTATACTATCATATCATCTGCAAATAGTGATACTTTGACTTCTTCCCAATTTGTATCCCTTTGATCTCCTTTAGTTTTCTTATTGCCCCAGCTAGAACTTCACGTACTATATTGAAGATTCATGGAGAGAGTGGGCAGCCTTGCCTTGTCTCTGATTTTAGCGGAATTGCTTTGAGTCTTTCTCCATTTAATTTGATGTTTCCTATCAGCCTCAAAGACTTTTAACATGAACTGGTGTTGAATTTTGTTAAATGATTTTTTGGCATCATATGGTTTTTTCTTCTTTCAGTTTGATTACATTGATGGATTTTCATATATTGAACCAACCCACATTGCGTGCCTGGGATGAAGCCTACTTGGTTATGTTGGGTGATTTTTTGATGGGTTTTTGGAGTCTGTTTGTGAATATTTTATTGAGTATTTTTGCATCAATCTTCATAAGGCAAATTGGTCTGAAATTCTCTTTGTTAGAGATTTGTGTGGTTTAGGTATCAAGGTGAGTGTGGCCATACAGAATGAGCTTGTTTATTTTCTTTCTGTTTTTATTTTGTGGAATAGTTTGAGGAGAATTGTCATTACCTCTTCTTTGAAAGTCTGGTAGAATGATCCAAGATGGTGGCCCTGATCATGCACTGTGTCTGATCATCAGGATATCACTGATTGCACAATGACTGAGAGACTAAACTCCTATTAATGGACTCATGTTACTTTGTGCCTTAAAACAAAATAGCATATTTTATGAATCAGAGTGCATCACAGTTTAATGTATGTATGTTGAAGACAGTAAGGTCTTCCTGATTAATTTCTCCATTTATTAGAATGGAGCATTGTGCTTTATCTCCTCTGATTACTATTAATTTGAAATTTACTTTGTAAGATATTGTGAAAGTTAAGCCTGCTTGCTTCCTGGTCTCATTAGATTGAAGTACTTTTGTCTATCCTTTTACTTTAAGGTAGTGTCCATCTTTAAAGCTAAGATGCATTTTTTATAGACAACAGATATGTAGATTTTGTTTTTTTATTGTATTCTCAGTGGTTCTTTGTGTGATGTGATATATATATATATCATATGTATATGTGATATATATCTCATATATATATATGATATATATATATATATATCATATATATATGTTCATTCCTTTCTTTTGCCAATATTTGGGTATGGAATAGTGTGGTGGTATCAATAGAGAAGGGACTTGTGGATGCATGCACATAGTATGGTATTTGAGAAGCCTAAATTGTGGTTGCAATGCATGCTGGATGGTCAGATTAGGCTGGATCTCAGGCTCTAGTTTGAGGACAGGTTTCTTTCTGCATTTAATTTTTAATATGTTGTATGGATTTTCAATTTCCAAAGAAAACTGCATTAGCTTGTATTTATTTAATCTGATACAAATTTGTAAATATCTTCATGATTTCATTTTTATAAGAGATTTGACTAAGTGTTGACCATCAGGATGTACACTCTCTGTTATAGATTTTAATAAAATGATGTCCAAACTTAAGTTTCTTCCTACATTTGAAAAGGGAAAAGATGAAGTTAAGATTTCAGCATATGAATAAAGTGTGACATCATTCTAGACACACACATCCCTGAGATGATCAAGGGTGCTAACTGGAATGCCTAGTTTGCTACAGTGGGACTAGAGAGCAAAGGCAAGAAGAAGGTATGGAAAGTTGTTTGGTGTTTTGATGGCTCTTCCATGGTTGTGGGAAGCTAATCTAGGGAAAGACTTTGGTGATGTCAGCTCTGGAAACGGCAGAGGGCTCAGAGACCTGAGATCATAATTCTATGTATGATATTTCATGGTTATGCTGAATCTCTGGAGCTGACAATGGTGCTTTTCTGGATTGGTGTATGTTAACCTGACACAAGGTGAAGTCATTGAGCATAGGAAACCTCAAATGAGAAAATCTCCTCATAAGACTAGGCTCCAAACAATCCTATAGAACATTGTCTAATTTAGTGATTGATTGGGGAGGTCCCTGCCCATTTTTGGTGAAGCTGCTTCTAGGATATTGATCCTTTGTTCTATAAAAGAGCAGGCTGAGTAAGCAGGAGGAGAAAAAAGTAAGCAGCACCCTTCCATGACTTCTGCCTCAATTCCTGCCTCCAGGTTCCTTCCTTGTTTAAGTTCCTATTGTGGCTTCATTATATGACAGATAATGATAAGGAAATGAAGGCCAAATAAACTCTTTCCTCCAAAAGTTGCCTTAGCAATTGTGTTTAATAACAGCAATAGTAGTAAAGTTAACTAGACCAGTATGTTGGTGAGTTTTTGAATCTGTGTTAAAATCACCTACACAGGGAGAACTACTGATTCCACCAAGGCGACAATTGAGACTGAAGCAATCATGACAGGAACCTCAAACATTCTTTCAAGTTTCAAATCTCACTCTGGCTCTTCTAGCAGCAGATTTTAGTGGACAGGATTTGTCATGAGGAAATGTTATTTGGTGGCTTCTTCTCTCTATGTGACAAAAGAGAATGGAAAGCGGAAGGGGTTTAGAACTGAGAGAAACAAAATGCAAAGAAACATACACAGAACCAAGGTTGGGCATATGCTCATAGAAGGCAGACATAAATTCCGTTGAAAACAAGGCAACAAATTGCTTAAAATAAAGAACAGTATGAATGTGGTAGAATTTATTTTTATTTGTTGGTAAGTGCTTTTGATACTTAAACACAGGAGGTCTTTAGAACTTCCAGCCTGGGATTTCTTGCACATACAGTTTATTTTTATGTTCAGAAGTCTAAAACCTAATACTTGATGGATTTTCTGTAGAGTAAATAATTTATTATTTCTTTTGTGTTTTCTTTTTACTTTTATCACCATCTAGATACCATTACAGAACCAGGTGTTGATTTACTTTCAAACTCTGAATATTCTTCATGGTTTTCTTGTCTTGATTTGTTTCTCAGAATTAGGAAAATTAAAAACATTAACAAAAGTGAAAGGATTATAAAACCAAGAGTGAGCATACTCTTATGTGATTTATTAGAAAATGGCATTGGAGGTGGTCCACTGTCTATACTACCTCCATAGCCACGCTGTAGACAGAACGGTGGCTCCCATCCGACATCACAATGGCAGTGGTGTTTACTGTTGCAGATACCTTGCATATGGCATAGAGCTTCTGAACAGTTAGTTAACAAAACAGACTTTTTGACACACTTCCTGTTAATGCATAAGTGATTTAGCCCACACGGAGTGCCATCTTTCACTGATCCACTGTCATCTAAGGTACTTCCAAAATGAAAATCCATAGACCAGCAGGTGATATTACTAAAGTGAATCCAATGCACTGTTTCGTGGTTTCTCCTAAGTGGAATCTGTTGCACATTCTCACACTGAATCCTTCCACAGAGTACATCATCATAACTGCACCTTTTATAGTCATAGCTATCGTTACCGCAGTTACCAAATCGGTCACCCCGTATGTTCATTGCCGTGTAGCAAATCTCATTTGCACTCCTGGCTGTAGTGCCAAAAATGCTTTGACACTGTTCCTGACGTTTATGACATGCCATGTTATAGCAATAACCATCACCCTTGCAAGGGATTCCATCCTCTTTATATACATTTTCTGGGCACGCTGCTGAAGTGCCATTACACCACTCTGGAAGGTCACATTCATTTTCCGGTTGTCTACACATTGTGCCTGTTGGCAAGAACTTGCACTTTTCACAACAAAGCCCAACATCACATTGAGCATCAGATGTCAAAACACACTGTTGGCCACAGCATTCATTAGATAAACATAACTCAGGGGATCCACAATCACACTGCTCTCCTTCTTCAGTCAAATTATTCCCACACACAGAAGTCACATTTAGTTTTTGTACTATATCTGGAACATTGTGTAAACAATTTTTGTTGAAAATTGTTGAAAACATTTTTTCATAACTACAGTTGCTGAATCTATTGGCACTAGTTTTGTATGGGGCCATTATGCAGTTTCCTCCCCCACAAGTACATTCCTTTTCATCATGAGGCATACCCAAATTATGACCCATCTCATGTGCTATAACATATGCCATACTTTGAGGTGAATCTTCCATAAAACTGTTAACTGCACAATTCAATATTGTGCAAACTGTACCTACATAAGCTAGTCCTAAATATATACCATATCCTTGCCTGGCAAAAAGATGAATGATATCACTTCTGGTGCGTGTGTCAACATTTGCTCTTTTCCAATTGCAGAAGTCCCGTAGAACTTCATTTATAGTGAGTGTTACATTGACATGGTTTGAGACAGTCCAAATTTCCAGTGCCCTTAGAGCCACATCAGTGTCTATTTGAAGATAAAAACCATTTATTCCATTGACAATTTGCAACATTTCTTGCAAACAAGCTGTGGCATTATTGTTTTTATATACATATCGCTTATTATCTATCACCACAAAATATTCAAGATGCTTGCGGTGGGTCCACCAATTCTTATATGGGAGTTGCATTAGAATCGTGTCCTTGCTTTCTTGAAGCTTCAATTGTCGTGCTATTTCCTCTTCTGTTAACCCACATCTCATAGGAAACGATTCTGACTCCTCTCTATTCAACTTGTAAAGCAAGTGTTCAAATGTAGAAGTTGAGTTCTTGGGTGTGATTTCATAAATTGTGCCATTTATCTCTAGTATGCCTTGCAAATTCCCAAAACAGGTGTCAATAATGACCATAGATTCTGGGACTTCATCCACATAGCCGTGGTAGTAGCAGTCATTCTGCACAAAAGGCTGGTCTGAAAGGAGATCACCTTGGTCACTGTAGGTAAATAGTAAGAAGTTTCTGGATATGAAGTTTTTGTTGGATTTCATGATAATAATGTGTCTCTGTCCCCCAAAGTGAAGACTATATGACAGCCAGTCTGGGGAAATATGTTTCTGAGTGTCAGTGGCCCTCAAGGGTATCACTACTTCTGGAGGACTACTGTATTTAGAATGTCCTGTTGATGACCATGCAGAGAGGAAGAGCAATATGTACAGGCAGAGCTGAAGGAACATGATCTTTTTGTGGATACAGGCTTCAGCCACAGACACCAGAAAGCTTTTTTCTCATAGACCCTGCTCTGTCTGGTTGCATGCAGCACCGGCCTTTAATGATGTGTCTTCTGGTAGAGTTGATTAATCAGGTCACCAGGACTAAAAGAAACAGTGAAATGAAGGTCAGACATGGTTATATGTAAATCACGATCATGTCAGGCTAGAAGATAAAACAGCAGAGAAGGGCTAAAATCGATTAATGGTTGTTACAAGGTACAGCAACAGTGTTAATGGGTTTGTCTGCTTAGTTGTGGTAAAGTATACTTGATCCTGTGTAAATATATTTCTAATAAACTCCCAGCTTTTAATAACTTGCTCTTTTTAATACATTGTTTCTGATGCTTTAATTTTCAAGTTTTCCTTATCATCTAGACAGTTCATCAGCTGAAAAGTAACTATCTTTGCTTTCATATCTCAGTGATATTAATTTAAATTCTAAAACACTAAACACTTTCCTATTTAGTGAGTAAACATACGCTCCCTTCTATCATGGACTTGCTGTGGCTACACGTGGCAGAAACGTCTACTGGCTAAACATGTTTCTTATGTTTATTTTCTATATTATTAGTAGTACATAAAAGTTTGTACAGTAGTGTGAATACGAAGCTTGTGTGCCTGCTAATATTTGCATAGAGGCCACAGTTCATCCTGAAGTAGGTCCCTAGAAACTATATACCTTGTTTATTAATTTAGTTCTTAAATTTTAATATCTTATCCATTTATTGTATGTTTGTATTTAAATGAGTGTGTAAGTGTGTGTGAATGTTTGTGTGTTTGTACTGGCCAAGCATTAGCCTCAGATAGCTTTCCTAAGTTACTACCCACTTCTTGGTTTTTGACACAGCATTGATTTCTGACAGGCAGGGAAGTTGACTGTGAAGAAAGCCTTAAGAATCTGCAGGTCTCTGCTTCCCTAGTCCTGGCACTGCAAGTACAGACCACCAAATTTGGACGCTTCTTTCCTTTTGACTGAATCTCTTGAAAGACTTCCCATCAGATGCAGTGATGGCCATGGTCCTTTATCATTATGTCCTTGTTCATGAAGCTTTTCACGTTGGTGTTAAGGATCATTCGCACATTTCTATGCTTTTAGTGTACCAACTGAACTATCTAAATAGTTCCGTAACCTCAACTTAGTATATGAATATTTGAAAAAAATGAAGTTAGGAAAGAAATGTGTTATTAAATACAATGCCAAGAGCTTACAAAAGAAAAACAATCAATACAAGGTATTTAAGAACAATATCAAAATGATTAAAATCAATATCAACATGATTAAAATCCTGACATGCTAATTGATTATCTATATTGTTTTGATTTAGATTCAATAATTGTTATAGCATGTAGATTTGTGGTATGAAGAAAATGTATTTATTTCTAATAATAGTAATATTGAGATTGCACTAACAAATGTATGTCAGAACTAATGACTAAAACTTCAGAGTAATAAACAGAATGTTAAGAAAAGCACATTAATGAATAATTGAACAAGTCCAGTCTTGCATTAACTTAATTACTTTTAGCAAAAATTCTACCATTCAGAACTATGGAGAAAAGATTATGTTCTCACTCCAAATTTGGTACATCTTCAAGAGAGACTTCAAGCTGACTCTCAGATTCTCTTTTACCTAACCTTTTTTTCTTTCTACAACTTCACCAAGTTCATCACCAAAGTCCTCTATAATTTAGGATGTATTTACCACACTAAAAACTATAGAGCCACATTAATAAAAGTTGAAGAGTGGAAATAATGAAAGGAAAGGCCATTCTCGATCTGGAAAGGAATTAAGGGATGTGTGTGTCCACATCATAAATTTTTTTCTTTTTTTGCTTCTGTCCTTTCAACTGAATTTTCTGAAAACTTTCCATCAGGTGCTCTGATTCTTCCTTCCAGTTATGTCCTTGCTCATAAAGCATTTGTAAGGTCCATCTTAGTAACAAAGTGTTTTTTATTTGAGAATGCATAAGAGAATATAAATTCTTTCATTTCTTTTCTCTCATAGACAAAGTTCTAGATTCATGTGCAAGCAAAAGGAGCTTCTCCTTCCTTGGAACCTGGCAACTGATGAGGTTCTTCTCAACAGTTTACTGCTTCAGTCAGTTACTTTGTTTCCTCTTCCACATCAGTTAGTCTGACTTCCTTCCCTAAGTGACATCCTAACTACCTTGAGAATTTATCTTACCTAAATCAATATGTCCACAACTAAAAGAACAAACAGCAGCAGATGTTAGGGAAGCTGTGAGTTAAGGGTATCGCTCATTCATTGCTGGTGGGAGCAGAAAATTACAGAGACACTCTGGAAATCAGTATGAAGTTTTCTCAAAAAGCTGAGAATTACTGACTACACCAAGATCCATTTTTATCACATGAAACCGTCTACCCAAAGCAGCTGACATCTTTCTAGAGAGACACCTGCTCACACATGTTCACTGCAGCCCTATTTATAATAGGCAGAAAGTTGAAACAGCCTAGATTTCCATTGACTCATGAATGGATGATGAAAATGTAGCATATTTATTTATATAACATAGTTCAATTGTTAAGAAAAACTAAAGTACGGAAGTTGCAGATAAGTAGCTGAAGCTAGAGACAATCATTTTAATTGAAGAGACCCAGACATAGAAAAATAAACATTTTGTTTTTTCTCTTTTCTGTGGATGGCACCTTTTATGCCTTAGCAGTTCTTCTTTTTTTGGATTATCCACATAAGTTAATTAGCTAGTAAAGGACCAGGGAGGAATATGAGGGGTTCCTCCCAATAAAGGGGAAATAAAACATTGTGTTATAATTATGTAAACAGAAAATGAAAATAAGAGGATGAAATAGAGAAAGGAATGGGAAATGGAAAAGATATGAGGAGGGATAACTAACACGAACGGCCCTTTGAAAATTTGCATGGAAATCCACTATAAAAGCTTCCATATATATGGAGTTTATATAGAATTGTAATATAATGAGGTATGCAGTGACTAAAATAGGCATTTTGTTTTTGTCAAATTATACTTCCAGAAGCAAGAATGGATTTCTTATTTTTGAATTGTTGTCTAATAAAGTCCCATACAAACCCCAAATATTATAGACTACTATTGGAAATTCTTCACAACCTAATAGTAAGAACTGATTGCTGAAGAAATAATGTTCTTATAGCTCAGATATGGAGAATTTGGACTAATATCTAACTAGAATCTTCCCTCCTATTGGCTAGTATTCATGGTGCTGGAAGCCACTAATCCCAGCAACTGTGGACCTTGCAAGCTATAATAGTAACCTCCTGGTACAATATATCCTCCTCTGGTGCAATAAGGCCAAAAATGACATAAGTGTAAACCACCCAAGTTGTTATTGTCTTTAAGGCCCACTCCATGAGACTGAACCCACACCTGACACTGCGAAGTGTCTGTAAGAATCTGTAACTACAGTTCTCACGTGTAATTGGGGAAAACCTACAACATACATTCTGCTTAATTAACAAGAACTGAAATGACTCCTAATGATACTATGCTATACTTGAAGATCAGTACATGACACTTAACATGGAGACCCAGACCAAGACCTCATTTAGACAGCCCTAAATGGGATGTCTATATTATTCCCTAACCTTCAACGTCCATGTGTCTATATGGAAGAGAAGGCAGAAAGGTTGCAAGAGTTAGAGAAGGTGGGTGAATCCAAGGAAGCAGCATTTTCCAGACACAGCTGGGCTGATACACACAAGAACTTACACAGACAGAGATAGTACACCAAAACTCTGCACAACTTCAGACAGATCAAATCTTGGCAAAATATTGAGAAATGGGCACAAAGTCCAAACTCCTATATAGGGTATTTGTAATTGATAGCTTCGGGGAGAGATAAAAATCAGAATTCTTCAATAGGATGACACTGTGCTTATCAGATCTAGTCTAGAAAAAGGAAAATGTTGAGCCATAGTTGGCCAGCATCAAATAGACTCTTTATTTTTTTGTTCATCATGTGTTTGGGTGTGTGTGTGTGTGTGTGTGTGTATGAGAGAGAGAGAGAGAGAGGATGGAGTTTAAATTTGAGTTGGACATTTTTATGAATTTACATACATGTCAAGGAATCTGGAAGGAGTTTGTGTAAGGAAAATTATGTGACCCAAATATATTATATGAGTAATTAAAGAAAGAGAGAGAGAACAACACTCATTGCCAAGAGCTGGAGCTATGGAAAGAGCACCCTGGACCAAGTGCTTGCAGCATCAGCACAACAATATAAGCAACATCTGTGTTTAAATTTGCAGAGCCAGACAAGAGGTTGAATATGATAGATGTGTCTCTAGCAGTAGCTCTTCAAAGTGAAGGAAAGAAAGCAGATCCTGTGGGCGTCTAACCAGCAACTCTAATAGAAAAGGTGAGCATAAGGTTAAGTGAGAGATTCTGTCTCAAAAACAAAAGGACAGTGTTACAGAGGAGCACTCAAAGGGCTTGGAAAGGGCTTCCCAAAACATAATGAAACAAAATAATATATTGAACCCAAAGAAAATTTCATATAACCTATGACAAAATCACCAATGAATTTTCACTAAAATAATGATCCAATCATATAATATAAATTCATGAGGTCAAAGGGAAAGAGAATTTAGACAACACAAGAAAAAAATGACATATATATGTTTAAATTATCCTGAAAGCAGACTTTTTTTTTTTTAAAAAATAAGCAGTTTCTTTATAAATAAAACCATGCTAACAAAGAAACTAAAAAAAAAATAATTTAAAATATCTACAAAAAAAACAGCATGGAATTATTCTGAACAGAAGTGAAAAATCTCTACAATGAGCAAATTTGTAAATAAAGTAAAACAGAAAAAAAACAGAAAAAGATTTTTATCTTTCTGGACCTCCTATGATCATGGGTTGGAATAATTGATAAAGTGAATATGGCCATCAAAGAAACAACAAAAAAAAACTTCTACAAATTCAATGCAGTTCTAATCAATATTCTAGTGAAATTCTTCACAGATCCAGGAAAAGAA